AACCAATAATTATGAAAAACCGACGACATCTGCTGCAGTTTCAGTTCGTATATCTATATCTATATCTTTTTCTCGAGGGGAGAAACATCAGACGTCAATATGATTTGTGATTTACAACAGGTTTCAATTAACCAAAAGAATGTGCCCCAGGCTTTTGAATTTTGCATGTTTTCGGGGAAGGCGGGATGGAGAATCCCGCATATAGGGAGGGAAAATTCAGAGGAGAAGGCGGAGCAGCTGAGAGGCGATGACAGGGACATAAATAAGCGGCGGTTAAGTATCGTGTAATGCTAGACGAATAGTTTTGAGTTTGTCGTGTAACTGTAAGTGGAGAAGTCGCTCCATATACCAAATACCCCCCCAACTATCCAATATCCCAAAATTCCCGGGGGTAAACAGCCGCCTATGTTGCTGCTGTGCGCGATGTTGCTGCCGTACATGTTGCTGCTGCAGTTGCAACTAATTGAGGACAAGGCGGCATAAATTAGACAACGCTCCACTAAGTGGATCGAGATCGAAGGTTGGGCACCATACGATACCATATATATACCATATATGCCATATCCGATTGACGCACTGATGGATTGTCAAATTGTGTCTGCATCGTGGCGACATCTTTCAATTAAAAATGCATCCCACTGCCGCCGACATCCTTCACTTCGCCTCCCTTTCGGTGATGTAATCTCTGGGCTCATTAAATTCAAATGGAATTTGTTTGAAAGGCAAAACTTAATCCGCTCGTAAACATCGACTCCCCACCTTCGTGACGTCGCTGGGCTCCAAACATAAATCAGCTGTAGCTAACCCAAGGATTTGCCAGGCTCAACTCAGTTGTACACCCAGCTGCACTTGAAAAAATTATTAGAAAAAGTGGCAGAAAATTAAATAAATATAAAATGTAATCTGATTAACCATTAATTATTATTTGAATATTTAAATAGAATTGAAATACAGCTAAAATGATTTAATATACTATGATTTGTACACATATTTAAACTATTTTTAAGCCTAAACAATGATCTATACATCTTAAAGTTAAAAAAAAATACTTTAAAAAATACGTTTAATAATAGATTTTGTTACTAGTTTTGGGTTAACCACTTAAATTAAGAAAAGAAAAATACCAAGAAATATTTCATTTTATATCTAAATAGATTAATTCTTTTAAAATTTGTAAGTGTGTAGGAAAATGCAGAAAGAGCTAGTCTTTTGGAATTCTATTAGAATAACTTAGAAATACAAACCAAAGTTCCAGAACCCTTAAAATAGTGATGCTGATTAGCTAATTTTTGACCTTTTAGTTCTCCGAATGATTAGAATTTTTGACAATTTTCGAGTGTATGCGAATCCTATGACTGGCGAACTGGAGAGCGTGTGCCGCCGTAAACCTCGTAACGAATGCTGGCCAACGGCAGAAATCTAATTTCAAGCACCAGAGAGCAGGAGAGGCAGGTGGAGGCTGCCTTTTCCACTTGGCTGGCTTAACGATTCGAACTGCTGTCGGGGTTTTATTCTTTCTGTTTTTCGGCTTTCGCCGGGTCCAGAGAACACACCCAGAGAATCTGCAGACCCACCATCACCCACATCCACATTCACTTTGTTGTCTATTTGATGTCTTAATGCGAACCACCCCCTGCTTACGATTTTCCCGCCCAGGCATACCGTTTTAATCAAATGGATTTTCCTTCTATTTCCCATCCAATTTTCCCCCGTGGCGGTACGGAAATAGACCTGCCGTACCAACCACCCACCCACTCGAGAGCGGCGACAACAGGAGCCACGATTTATTAGGTTCTTTCACGTCTGATCTCTGCCGGTATTAGCCGGCTATATGGTATAGCCCATGGTTGCCGGGCATTATTCTTGGAGGCATCGATGGCCTAATGTCATATACAACATTTCAGCGGCCCATATTTATTGCATCTCAAGTTGCCAGGATTTTGGATTCTAAAATTTATTAGATTAATTACAATACGTTGGCACGATTTAGAAAAATATACTATACGATTTATAAAACGTTTAATAAAAAACGTATGTAAATTTGTTCTCGATGCTTTAACAAGATTTTAAACTTTAGAGGTAGTGCATAAACTAAAATATTATATAGTATAATACTATTTTTCAGAAAATAAGTACATATTTTACTTTACTCTTAAGTTAAGTTTACTTACTTAAGATTTTTTTCTCCCATGTTAAGCTAAAAGTAGTTTTAACTTTAGAAATTTTAAACAAATGAGCAGTCTAAAACCTACTTTAAATTTAACATGAGAACAAGAAAAAAAACCCCTATTAGACGATACGATTATTTTGATTTTATAGCACGATTTTATGGCCACTAAACCTACATAAAATAACTGGGAACAGTTTTGAAAAAGAAACTCAGCTAAGACACACACCCTTAAAAGGTATTAAGATCAGCTAAAGTAAAATAATTGTCAAATACACAAACAAATGTATTTTACTAAGTAAAATGTAAACAATGTTTTGAAAACAGATAATTGAAACGCACACTCAAAAAATATATATATGCAATACAATAATATATATACGAAATGTTATATTATAAAATTCGTTTAAAATGTAAATTTGTCTACTATATCAGACAGCCTCACGCCAGAGATTAAAATATTTTCAATGGACAGCGGTTTTTAAAGAATTCACGTAACAAGATTTTCCTCTAAAACTTAAAAAATCGCTGCCCAAAGAGCAACCAGTTTTCTCTTGTGCCTTTACATACACTTGCCAATTTGTGAAAATTCTCCTCGATGGACCTTAGTTTCTTAAATCATATGATTTCTGCTCTATATGTATGGATGCGAAAATTTAAAAACGAAGTAACCAAGTCTAACTCAGTTTCGAAGTATCGTAAATTTTCTAAAGTTTTGTGAAAAGTATGCCGTGACTTCACCGTTTCCCCATTTGCCTAGGCTGTGCACTTTTCAGGCTCATTCTATCAAAAGTATCCGTACAGACTAGTACATTTATTATCTGGTGTTTTATGTAAAATAAATTTTCAAGAATAATTTCGTACATTTTATTTCGATAACATTATAGTACTCGCACATATTTTTCGGTTCCAAATTTCACATTTACACTCCCAATGGTTTCATTCAACCGAAATGATTCGATAAAATCTATTTCGTCGGAGCAGTCCAGTTCTGTTGAATCTATGATGTCGGGCAAAGATTCTCATCATTTTGACTCTCCTTGCTGCTCTAAGAACATCATCCGCACTTCGATCGATTGCCCGTTGATGGAGGAGCCTTCTTCCTCCTCAGGATCACTAAAGTCGGTCAGTGAGTTTCCTAAAAGCGACTCTTCTTATTCGAAGGTCATGGTCCACCAACCGGTAGTCGAGGAAGAACCGGTGGTTAAGGAGAACGAGGAAGTTGTGGTTCCAAAAGTGGAAGCGAGCGTGGCATGCATTGCTCAGGGAAGTCCCTCCAACGTGGTGATCGCAGGAGCTGATGCAGAAACCAAGGACCTCGTCCTCAAGAATTCGCAAACCATGTCTGCCCCACCAACAGTCCCCCCTGTCATTCCTCATGTTCAATTGATTCGCATCTCATTAGTTCTTCCCATGGTTGTGAAGAAACCCCTATTTCGGTATTTTAAGGTGATACAAAACCAGAACGAAGGACTTAAAACGGGTAAATGGACGGTCACAAAGCAAACTGTCCTAGAACCTAACAGTCCGGAATACGACTGCAATGTCATCTACACGGAAGTAGAGAACCGGGTTACTGTGATATGTATCGACAAGGAGAGTGCAGAGTATTTAAAGAGAGCAAAAAGGATCAAATTTATGTTTTGGAAGCTCCCAATTAACTTCAAGCCCACGCTTTAGAGTTGAAAGCTTCTAATCAGTTGTCAATCCAGAGGGAGGTTTTTCTAATGAATTCTCGATGGTCTAATTCGAACGACTCGAGCCGTAAGTCCCTAATTCGAATGGGCATCGCTTAATAAAAAAAGGAAACAACTAAGTTCTCAATGGGTTTTTTTTAAGGAAACAGTTTGGGTTTTCTTGGGACCACAGATGGGAACAGAATTTAAAAATTAAAAGACGTACCCAACAATCTAAAAAAATTTTTAATCGCCGCTAGGTGGCGCCCGGCAATCTCGGAAAAAGTCACTTTGCATGCATATCTCCATCTCCCTTGCTCCCCTTAAATTGAGCATCTGGTATCTAATATTCGAGGCACCCCACTATAGCGTTCTTCCTTGTTTCCAAACATTTCCTAAAAAATATTTCCTCTTACATTGAAAAAATAAATTTGTTTTGTCTTAAGTTAAAAAAAATTAATATTACAGAAAAATAAGTAAAATTTACGAACAGCGACAAAGTTAAAACTTAATTAATATTTTTTTGGCAAATCACTAACTAAAATGGTACTTAAAAATAACTAGTGTGAAATATATTTCAAGTTTTCAGCGATTAAAGTGCGATTTCTACTGATGACAAAATATAAGATACAAAAAAAAATACTATAATGGAAGTGAACAAATAAGTACAGCGGGACTTAAAATTATAATACAGATATTATCATATCCCAAGATATAATCAAAACTGGGGAAGATTTTTATTGGGGGACACCTACTTTAAACTTCATAAAAAAAATCATTTATTAACGTGTTTTTTAACATAGCGCAATTCTGGAATCTAAAAACATGCCAAAGAAATAAAAGGATCATCGGCACACTAAAGTAAATATCCAGACCAAACAGCATAATAAATGGTCTATTATTGGGTGAGTATTTCAATTGCAATAAGTTAAACACTATGTAATCACCTCAAGGGGTGATTAAATAAAATAAAATAATAAAATAAAATTCTTTATAAATCTGTATTAAGTAACGAAGTATTTCAGGAAATTCTTCTTAAGGGTATTGATTCCTAGCTCCTAAGAAGATTCATTCTTTTAGTGTACCGATTGCGAAAAGTAAGGGTCCTTTTCCTTACACATGGTTACATTTCCAATGTTACAAAAAGAAAACCCGCCTTAATCAACATTGAACTTTAATACACAAATAAATACAGGAAGTTATGTAAATACAATACATATTCAGGATTAGCCTAGCGCGACGCTAGTCCCTGCAAGCGGGACCAAAACGGGTGCAATCAGTCTTCTTCAAATAACTACGGAAATTTGTGGGGTGTCGTTTAAGCCTAAAAGAGAATTGTGCTACAGAGATTTGGAAAGCAACTAGGGACTAAAACTGTTTAAGGATCTGTCTTCTCTAGACTCGGGGTCTAGAAACGCATGCGTTGCGGTCCCGGCGTGCGTTTGGGTGTCACTTCGTTGCCATTGGTTGGCTGTTGGCGTTTCCTTGGTGTGTAGCTGCTGGTGCTGCTGCTGCTGCAAGCTGGAACTTCCGATGATCTGGGGGAATTCACGTCAGTATTGGCCTCCTCTTGAGGTGCCTCCTCTGCCTGCCGAGCTCCTGACTGCTCCTGCTCCAGCCCAGCAGTGGCAGGGGCAACGGCATCGGAGTTGGGATCGGGTGCCTCTTCTTCCTCCTCGGCGTTCTCCTCTGTGAATAAAGTACGACGAACCCATCGTCGACTGGTTGGTGGCGGTAGAGCGTCGTCGGCCTCATCGTCTGTGCTGGGATTATGGCGGGCATTGCCACGTCGTTGAATGGATATAGCAGTGGGTGGAGCCTCTAGAGTGGATCGGTTAAGGGAGCCTCTCAGGCCCCGATCGTAGACAGCCAGACAGATCTCGATGCCGCGCATTCGACTACCGGGCAGTTGGGTGCTTCGATAGCCCAAAGTGAGGTGGACCGCGGATGACTCGCCCAGATCCATGCCGCCATAGCCATTATCCCGCTTTCTTAACCGTCCAACGGCCTCCACATATTTCAGGCTGTCCATGGGGTAGCTCGAGGGCCGAGGGGGCGTGATCAGGAACATGGGAAATTCTGGGGGTCCCGACTCGTCATCGCTCTCGGCACGCAGATGCAAATTGGTGGTGGTCTTGTCGCGCTCCTTCTGCTCATAGATGCGACGACGTTCCCGATCGAAGGACCTGCTGAATCGCTCCTGCAAGAGGACTTCGTCGCCAACACTAGGACAAGCCGCCTCGTCGAAAGCCTCGTGTTTATAGCGTCGTGTCACCTGGGTCCTCATAAATCCGGTTATATCCTTGGCGCCCCGCACATTGCGGCTGTAGAAGTTGAGGATGCAATCCTCGGCCAGATCGCGCCGTATGGTGCCATCGTCCACGCCCCTGATGAACTCATGGACCACCTCCAAAGGCGTCATCTCTGGAAAATGTGCAAAGAGCAAGAGAATGCGATTCCTATTGATCAGCCATCTGTGTCCACATATATCCCGTCGATAACCACTCACCATGATCTCCTGGTATGTTCATGGCTTGCGTTGTAGCCTCCGGATGCGCCGATCATGCGGCTTCACTTAAAAAATATAGAAATAATTTACAAAATAAAATACAACGACGTTGTTGATATGGAGAATGTTTTCGTTCTGGCTTCGTTTCGGCTATCGCTGCCTATCGGACTATCGGCTGGGCGATTTGAATTCCAGGGCCTGCTAAATTTGAATTTCAATATCATTCGATAGAAGTATTTTAAATATATACATAATATAAATATATACAAACTATTTTATAACAAAAGCCTTTTAAGCGGTTAAAATGAACCCCAAATATATTTGAAAAAATTTGGAGCACTGAAAGGTTTTTATTTTTTTACAGAATACCATCAACAAACGAAATATCGATACATTAGCGAAGTAGGGGAGTGCACTCGCTAAATGTGGAGAATGTACCCGCTAAGTGTAGAGAGGGATGGTGACCCGGTTAAGTCAAACCGGTTGCCTGCGACATTTTTCAACACTTTTGCGCATTTTTTAAACGCAACGCTCTTAACACCTTTATGTACCTTCCAGTATAAATGTTTGCCGTTAAAAGAATAAATCTCAAATATAGTTATTAGTTTGTGGGCTCTGTTAAGTTGGATATGATAATTTTTCAATAACCAAAAACAAGCAAAATTACATTAATTAAGTATGTTTATAAAAATTAAATGGTTCCCTCCTTCAGAATAATAATTTTAATATCAATTGGCTCAGCTTATTTTTAAATTCGAAATGCGAAATTTCCCCAGCAATTCAGCCAAGGTGATTCAGTGGGTAATTGACTTAATCATAATTTTGGGTCAGTAACATAGCCAATATGCAAGCTCGACCATTTTTTTTCATCACACTTCGTTTATTTATTTTGCTATTCGCAGACGTGATGACGGAGTTATTGAATGCCGGCGTATTTGAAATATGCAACCGGTTTTTGCACTCCCAACGTTGCCTTAAAGGTTGATTGCTCCACAAACAGTAAATGAAAACCACACCTGAAGACAGTGGGGTAAGAAGGTACATATATTGTACAATAGATACGATTAAGGAGTTTGCAAGAAAATGAAATCTTATTGCAATAATTTCAATGAAGAACAACAAATATAATGCTTGTTTTCATAAAATATAATCTATTGTCCATGATGTTATAAATTTAGATACAAATCTGACCTTAAAATCTGTTTGTGTATTATTCTTTTTGCTATTTTTGTATTCTGAAAATTGCAAGTAAATCATTAATGTCAGAATACAAAATACAAATTGCCTTGGTTGATTTAAGAGCCCAGGTAATCGCCTTCCACTGTACCCAACTGACAAATCTCCGCGTGTGGCCCACTGTGCCCCTGGATCATTTGCATACAAAAGGGGAAGAGTTGACAAACTGCTGGTGGCGGCGATAGAAGATTGCGGTTCCAGTCCCACGATCACAAAGGTTTAAGTCACTCGGAGGCATCCGAATCCGAGTCTGAAGTGGGTCACCATCCCATCACATCCCCACATTGCCTTGCCCCGCAGGAGCACCCATCCAAATGCGACAATTGAAAGACGTTCGCTATTAGCTGGTTCTTTGTTTGTTTAGTTTCATTGATATTTGCCAAAAAGCTTTATTGTATGGTAAATATAAATAGTTTAGTGGTTGTTTAGTCAATGGCAATTGCCATCATCATTCGTGTATACTATTGCGGGTGTATTGTGTGAATATCTGGGGGGAATCTGGTTATATCTATTCTATAGTATATAGCTGCACATTCATGCCAAGTTTCAGTTTCGGTTTCATTTAATTGCCATTTCAGACAATTTTGTTCCGCATGTTTATCTATAAAATGTTCCCGCTCTGCGCCATAAATTAATGGCAAACAGAGGCGGCGGATGGGCACGCACACGCCTCCAAAAGCGAATTATTGATATATTCCTTATGAATGCCATACATTATATGATAATTGTCGTTAAAATACTCTTGCTGTAGCAGGAAATCGTTCGAAAATCGCTTTCGAGGGCGTGGGCGTTGCCTTGCAGACTTTTTCGAGTTTTTTTCTTAGTTATAGGTTAAGTTAACAACAGTTTGGTGTTTCGTAGGGACTTAGCATCGATATAAGGGCTAGAACTTAGGGGATATTCGTTGTAAGCATACAGGGATGGTATTCGATTTAGGTTTGGACAATAGGGGTAACAATCGATGTTTCTCATTTACATTTAAACGTTTTTAATATACATCAATCTTAACCAATAGGGCCAAAATACATTTATTTACAATAGTCAATAGTTAGTATCAAAATTACAATCTACGTTGGTGTAAAGTATTCGCTGCCTTTGTCTCAGTCATTCGATAATTTCATATTCGATTCGTTGCTTAGGATCAAGAAAATAGTATAAACTACATGGGAAAAGAAAGCACTTTCCTCGTTGATTATGTACAAGTAAATATATATATAAACATTCGAATCCTACCAGCATCAGCATGACCGCTCTTTAGTACGGGGAGAATTACTTTTGGCCTGAACACTTTGGAAGTTCCACTACATCATAATACAAATGTTACGCACGCACGTTGAACGTGTAACTCGTCGTAACTCGAGCAATAAATTAATATTAGGTAATTAAAAAAAATAATTAATTGTTTAAATAAAAATAATGAGAAATGATAATTGTACTGCTTTGTAGTTTCTGCGGTTTCAAGACCTAAAATACATAAAATACGTTTGGGATGGGGGGGAATACAATACGGATTTGGCGCCACAGGCTTTATATCAACTGTTTAATCAAGCGCGCTTTCTTTTTTACCATTTAACCTTGATCGATCAGTATCGTTGAACTGTTGATGATCAATTTCATTGTTTCCGCGTGTCAGTGTGTGTGTGTACTGTTTATGCCTTCGAGTAAATAAATTTTGGTTTGTTTACTCTAGACATAAAAAAAAACATTTAAAAAATTTTTCCATTGAAAAAGATCATGCGGCAAACATAAAAATAGTTCTAGTCAGCATTGCTATTCCATTATTTAAGTAAAAATAAAAAAAAAACAAAAAAAGCGATTGGGCAATGGAAAATGTCAAACACACACATAAAAAAACTGGATGCAAGCAGTGTCAAGTGAATGGAAATCGGGGAATTCAAATCTGAATCAGCTAATTTAAATGTTAAACATCCGATATGAATGTGCATGTGTGTCGGCTGTTTTTCTCACACTTGAGATTTGAGTCAGAAAAAGCAGAGCAGCGATCTTAACTAAACAGCAACAAAAGTGCCTCAACAGAGAATTCCTTGTGGTTGCCACACACACATAGATTTTCTGTACATTTTTTTTTTTGTATATTGTTGCTTGGAAGAAAGAGCCAAAACAACAGCAACAATAGCAATCTTTTGTTTTGTCTTTTGTGAATTCCTGTTTGGCTGCACATTCCAGTTCCAGGCATTTCGCAACACTGACCAGAGTGTCCAATTAGAACGTGTTAATGTGACCCGAACTGCTCTACCGTTATTCTGCTTTTACTGCTTCTCGCAATGAAGATGAGCTGCGCTGCTGATAATAATGATGATGATGATGATGATGGTGATGGCGATGATGATGAATAAAATAATACGTTTCTTTTGTGCTGGCTCAAATTGATGTTGAATACTGGCGTATACTGAGTACTTTCTGTTCCACAGCGGTTGTTGGCCGATTTCAAAATCACGCGCAAGACGCTTACACACACACGCGCGCAATTAGCTGGTCAGCAGCTCGGCTTTTGTTGTTGCTGCGATTGCGCAAGTGTGTGCCTCTCTCGCCGCGAAACTCCAGCTTTTTGTTCGTTTTGGTTTTTCTTTTTTTTTTTTCTTGAGCTGCCCATTGCCATTATTTCGCTCGTTCGAGGTCTGGACTTTTGTATCCGGGGCCTGACTTTCGCATTGTCGCTCCGCGTCTCAGTTGTCTGCAAAAAACGAAAGAAAGAGGCACAAATAAGTACAACTTTTTTATATGATATGCGTTGTGCATACGCACAAGTACAGTGCGCTCAAAATATTAGCACCGGGAAGCAGTGTTGGAAAGGGCACTAGTAGTTTGGTCTTCGGCATCATTGAAGAAAACCATTTTAAATGCACTTTTCTAGCATTTTAGTTTTATCAATAAATTGAAAGTAATGGATTAACTCATGATTGTAACATTATTTAATTCTAATTTTAGGGTATTATATTAATTATTAAAAATTGTATTCGTCTGTCATAAATCGGAAAAAACGTACTATCCCAACAGGCATCATTAAAAGAATCACGGATAAAGAGGGCCAAAGATAAAATTTTGTTTTTCAACTACATATCTTGGCTGGAACATCTGCGGATTGCTCATAATCTTTCGAGAAAGAAAAGCAACGCGTAATCAGAATTCCGAGATTTATTTTGTTTTTCAGTTCTTGGTAAAAGATGCCGAATGCGATATGATTTGAAGTGTGAAACTACTGGTCAGTGGAATTCTTAGCATTTGCAAATCTCAATGTTATGTTTAAAAGAACATGTTTATAAGACACTAAAAATAAAATAGCTAACACAAAGTGAGAGAAAAAATGCGTAGAAATTTAATTTAATGCGATGAAGAATTTGTTTTATTTCTTGAATATTTTAGAGCTATAATATCAACCGCAACTGTAACTGGCAAGACAACAATACACTCCCCTTCCTTTTTTTCGCCTCCGACAAGGAATCAGATGACGACCAACGTTGCAGGCACAAATTAAGAAAATAATGCCCTGCGTAAAATGTAAATGGGCCACAGTGCAATTATAAGTTGAAAAACTGCAGAACGTTCAAATTAAAAATTGCCGCTAAACTCAAATTAACGCAAAGCATGTGTGCGTGTGCGATTGCGATTGCGTCTGGAGATGGACACTTAGCATTCTTACAGCGAAATTTGTGCTAATTTGTGGAAAATTCAACAGGAAGGAATTCATTAGGCTGTCAAGTGGTTAAAACGTTTAAAAGTCATGAAAAACTAGCCAGATAAAAGCTGACCCAGAAAGAAACTCCAAAGTGTTGACCTCTTTCAGCAGATTAGATAACTCACAACGCATCAGCAGTGGCTCATGTTTCGCTTTTAACGTTTTCATTTCAGGGTAAGTCACGTTCGACAGTAAGTGAGAATTATCTGCGTTTTTAAAAAA